ATGCTAACAAATATAATTGTATTGAATTCTTTATTCTTTAATAAAATCCTCAAAGTTTATTCTAAATATACATTATCATCTGAAGTAATAATTATTTGTAAACCCTTCAGAGCTCTCTCTAAAATATCAAATAAAAGCTAAATCCCTTTGTTAATCTTGCGTTAATATTAATTTTCAGTTGTTAGTATCGTAAGATAACAATTTTGTGTAGGTTAGGTGGATTAAAAACCAATCTGATAAATTAAACGTATGCAAAGAACACTTAAACAATTAATAGTAGCTGTAGGACCTATTCTTTTCCAATTTCAGCTGCAGGTTGCTGAGATTCAATTTTAGTATAAATTATTAGAAAACGAAGAAGTTATTTCAATCAATGCATCTTAAACGTTTACAAAGCAACATCAACGTTCTAAAATATTTTATTAAAATTCATAAGATTAAGGCCACGTGGGACAAATTAGTATTTAGTGACGACTACTTTGACAATGAATCTCAATAAACCTGGAGGAATCTAGCACTGACTATATCATCGAAGAACAATACCTACTAACCGTCTGACAACACATAGCTGTTCATAATGAACTTGAGGATCATAAAATCTCATTTATTACCTATTTAGATCAATCCTGCCTACAGTGTCATCCAGACTACAAAATTCAATCAGAAAAATTATCATCTTTTGATAATTTTTAGTTTCTGTAGATTGCACTTAAATATAATGCTATATCATATACCACCTTTACTGTAGCATATTTTATAAGGGCTCAAGAGAATGAGGCTAGTTTTTTGAAAAGAGATTGTTTATTGAAATATTTGTTAAGAAAAATTGTTATTACAATTAGATATAGGGATAACATACTAAAAGAATCCTTTGATAGCATCGCTGATAAATTATATCAAATTTGGATAAAAATAAAACAGTTTCAATTGTAGGAAATTGAAAGTGTTAGTAGTACTGATTCAATTATAAATAGCAATTGTAGTGACACCTCAGAAAATATAGAAAGAGATCAAAATGATACTATTATAGTACCTTTTCAAGGAAGTAATAAAAGCTCTCCAGAGATGACACTGCCAGTAGCAATATACAGACCACCATCAGGAACTACCATACCCATAACTCAATCACTATCTAACATACCATCTTATGTACAACCATGACAACCATACCTGGGAGATAGAAGGCAATATGACGAAGAAGAAAATGACATATATACCCCTGATTATGAACAAAATATCTTATTTGAGTATGTCAATAATGATAACGAAACATTACAGGAAACGTCTTTCTTTGACAATGCATTTTGACAAAATCAATGGAAGCATCAGCTTAAGCATAGGAAGCAGAAACCAGATGAAATGATTAAGAAATATGTGGCAGCAATAGGAGAATTATGGAAGCGAGTTGACCTACAGTATAGGCGAGCTGAGATGGATAGAGTTGCTAAATTTATTGAAGGGCTGCGACCAGAATTTATAGTACTATACCAGTGCAAACAGCAATACCAATAACAGTAGATCAAACAATCGAAAAGGTCAGAGCAGTAGAATCTGCATATTCCATTAGAATGGAACTATCTGCCTATTCGTTAATGTCTAATTACATGTAATTATTATAAGAAGGAATGATACCAGCTCACACAAATATAGCAATGCAACCTACATATATTACACAGCAGCTAGATATTGAAAGCACTATTAATCGCAAACTAAATGAAGGATTACAAGCGATTATGGTAAACATTAGGCAATAACAGCAACAATAATAACAGCAGCAGTAACAGCCACAACAACGGCCACGCGAATGTTTTAATTGTGGAAAATTTGGATACTTGTCTAGAGATTATAGAAGTAATCGACGTATGAATAATGACTAATCAAATATTGAATACTTTAACTGTGAAAAGTATAGCCATTTTGCTAGGAATTGCAGGAGTACAAATAATAATAGAGGTCGAAACTTTTAAAATCATAATGATAACAACAGAAATCGTAACCGCAGTAATAGCAGGAATAAGAATTATAGAAATAATAATAATAATAATAACTACAATAATAACAGTAATAATAATAGTAATAACCAACAGCATTTAAATTAGAAGTCACACCTTTTAGGGGTGAGTGTGCAAACAAACCAAAGCCCCTAAAAGTGAAAGAAGAGGAAGAAGCAAAAGAGAATAGTCAAGGTGAAGCAAAAACAAAAGTAAGTTTAATAGAAGTACCTTATGTATGTAAAGAAATGAATTCGAAAATGCGATTCGGAGGATCATATGAAAACAAATATGATCACTCCAGTTGTGAAGAATATGACTATCACAGTCATATTGTATGTACAAATTGTAACAAGATTGCTAAAGGAATAGCAGCACAGTAAAAATGTAAGGAAGTAAAATAGAAGGATCCACTAACTGATAAAAGAATTTTCAGTAAAAATCAGCTAATTAAACCAATAGATCTCTAACAACAAAGAGAAGTTACTGTTAAAAAAAGCTGAAGTATGTATTAGAAATCTTATATGATGACAAAGGAATCTATCTTTCAAAATGAATTGTTCCAAATAAGAAAATATATAACTTATAGCAAACAGTCAGTAGGAAAATTGAACTAGGGAAATCATCGATAAGAACTATGATTCGAGAAATTGTTGAAAAAATTGGAATACAATTGGATGAAGATCGCTTGAAATACATTTTAAATAATTTTACATATAATTGTGACATATATAAAGTAAAGCTAAACAAAGAAATATCTCAACATACTGAATCTACCAAACATAGCAATTGGCAACATTTTGAATTTGATGAATATTTACAAATGGCTAATCTAAATGAACTAACACTAATGCATAATAAATATGGAGAACTTTTCATATCTAAATTAAAGGAACACATTATTACTAGTAATACAGCACATGATGAACCTATCAAGGATGCATTGTTTATTGAAGCCCAAGTGAAAGGATACTCTATAAATGCTCTAATAGATACTGGATCTGTAGAAAGTATCGTTACTTAGTGATATCTTAGGCAAATCAATAAGGAAATTGATGAACCTGCAAAAACAAAAATCATAGGAGTGGATGGAAAAACTATGATGCCTTTAGGAACAATTAAAGGAGTTACAGTAGAAGTTAATGGAATAACTGTTAACAAAGATATGCTAGTAACTAATGCTATGGGATATAATATTATCTTAAGAAACACCTGGTTGCAAAAAGTTCATGCAATCATTGACTATGATACTGGCATTCTAGTCGTACAACAAGAAGATCAAACTTCTATGACATCTATAACTTGCATGCAGGATATACATCCAGGAAGGTTTATACCAATCAAGTCTAAAATAACAGTAGATGAATTAGAATTTGAAGAGGAGAAAGATATTGATATTCAATAATGTTTTGCTATTGTTCCCAAAGAAAAAGAGGAAGTAATCTAAATAAATAGAAAGGAATATCCTAAAATATACTTACAACAAATTGAATATAAAATGGATGTACAATAAAATAGAAATTGGACAGGATCGACTACATGTTGGTGTTTGAAAAATTTAGGAAATGAATGCCAATGTGATGATTGTAAAGAAATTGTAAGGATAGTACAAACTTATCAATACTATAAGAATATTATAGATCTACAAGCTGCCTATAAAGTTCAGATCGAAGAGAATGATATTCAAGTAGAAATTGGTAATGATTCAGGAAAATATACAACCTGTGGAAAATTAACAGATGCTTCTTTAAAACAACTAAAAGCATTTCTGAAGAAAATCTTAATAGTTTTGTGACCACAACACAGGAATTAACATATTTAGAGCAACATGAATATTGTATATTTACTAAAGATGTATTACCAGTTGCACTAAAATCATATCGAACGTTAGTAAAAAATGATCAGTATATTCAGCAGGAAATTCAAAATATGTTATATCAAGGAATTATATGACCTTCTTAAATTCAATGGAATTCACCCATAGTTCTTGTAAGGGAAAAGAATGGAAAAATGAGATTCTGCGTAGACTATAGAAAATTAAATGATGTAACAATAAAGGACCGATATCCCTTACCAAGGATTGATGAATTATTAAAATCCTTGGGAGAAGCAACATAGTATACTACCTTAGACTTAGCTTTAGAATACTGGCAGTTTAAGGTCAGGAAATAGGACAAACCCAAAACAGCATTTATTACAAAATATGGGTTATATGAATTCAATGTAATGCCATTTGGGTTGTGCAATACATCAGCCATCTTTCAACGAGTTATGGATGATATATTATGAAAAATAAAAGAAAAATTCGTATTAGTATACCTTGATGATATCATTATATTTTCCAAAAGTTATGATGAATATTTACAACATTTCCAACAGGTTTTCAATTTATTAAAAGAAGCTCAATTGAAAATAAATCCAGAAAAATGCCATTTTTGCACAAACAAAATTCAATTTTTGGGACATATAATATCAGGACAAGAGATACAATCTGATCCAGCAAAAATTGAAAAGATCATCAACCTCAATGTTTCATTTAATGTTAAACAATTACGAACTGTATTAGGATTATTCTCTTATTACCGACGTTTTATTAAAAATTATTCTAACTTAGTAGCCCATTGAACAAGTTGCTGAAAAAGGATGTGCCTTATAATTGGATAAAACAACATCAAGAGATTTTTGAAATACTTAAGGAAAAATTGATGACTGCGTCAATCTTATCCTATCCTGATTTCAATCAATCTTTTATTTTGAGCATTGATGCAAGTACTACAGGACTAGGTGCAGTACTTTCACAAAAAGACAATGAAAAAAGAGAATATCCTATTTGGTATGCAAGCAGAACATTGAGCCCAGCTGAAAAAAATTACCATATTACTGATCAGAAGGCTTTAGCAGTAGTATGAACAGTTAAATATTTTAGGAGATATTTAGAGAATAATACATTTATTATATACACTGATTATTCAGCATTGCAGTAATTATTGAATTAACCTACTAAAGAAAAGGATAGTAAAAGGATTATCTGTTAGAAGATTCTATTATAATAATTCCAATTTAAAGTAAAATATTACAAAGAAAAGGCAAACGCAAACGCTGATACTCTTTCAAGGATTGATAAATTACAGACACCAAACACATCACAAACCTTAACATCAATAATAGATCATGAATAAGTAACAATATTAAAATATAATTCAATACCTTGCCAACTTCACTTATCCAGAAAATTGTGATACTTCTCAATGGAAACAAATTCAATGATTATCAACCTACTACATTGTTAAAAATTCATAATTATACAAACTAACTAAAAAAGGATTAAAAAGAGTAATTACACAAGAACAAATGAAAGTACTCTTATTTAATTTACACAAAGATATGTCAGGAACTCATTTAGGAATTGAAGCAGTATATAATAAGGCTAAAGAATGATATTATTGGTCACAAATGTTCGAAGATATTAGAGAATATATGAAAAATTGTGACAACTGTCAACGAAGAGGACCAAATACCAGAAAAGAACTATTACATTCTATTTTAGTTAAAGCACCTTTTCATCGAGTAGGATTAGATATAAAAGGACCATTACCTATTACAAAAATAGGGAATAGATACATAATAGTTGTAATGGACTACATTACAAAATGGCCAGAAGCTAAAGCCATTAATGATATCAAAGCTAATACAGTAGCAAAATTTTTATATGAAGAAGTAATATGCTGACATGGTATACTTGAGGAAATACTCACAAATCGAGAAACATCATTCATGAATCAGGTAATAACACAATTATGTCAAAAGTTTCCAATAAAATAATGATTATAAAAATAAAATACAATTTTTTTTTTTTTATATTTAATCACATGATATTGATTTCTAAATTTTGATTTTAGTAATTTTGTGTTTTTATTTTAAGATCAGGTCCTTTCAATACAGAATTTCATTGAATTAATTTATTGAGTTTATCAATTTTAAGTCTTTTCACCATTCGAATATTAACATGTTGCGTTCTCATAATTTGTTCAATATTGTCTTCAAAAATAAGAAATAATCATTTCGCTGCAGTATAATAATACTTTAATAATTTTGAAACTTTTTGCGAAATATTTTCTTTGTTGATTATTTCTCCTATATAATAAAGATAAATTAAAAATTCTTTTCTTT